GCATCTTACCCTCACTGCGGCTTAAAAGAAAATGTTAACATTTAAAAAAAAATTCATTCCAAATGGCGTTGGGGTCAGAATTGTGGTACGCTTTATTTCTGCCCTCACTTGACCCCTGCTACATTTGTCATTTCTGATTCTCAAAATCAGTGGGACTTGTAATTCTATATTACTTCACTAGTATTTCTTTAACAGTGTTTAGATAGAGTTTCTGTTATTGCATATGGCAGTGGTTAACATAACATTACCCTTCACAGATATAACTATCACAAATATTAAGCTAGCTGAGAATTTTTATTTTTTTAAATTTTATTTATTTGTTTGTTTGGTTTTTTTGAGACAGGGTCTCGCTATGCAGTTCAGGCTGGCCTTGAGCTCACTTTGTTGCCCAGGCTGGTCTCAAACACGCAATGATCTGAGTGCTGGGATTACAGGCATGCGCCACCATCCCCAGCTAGCTGGGAATTTTTAGACAAGCAGACATTTGGGGGAAATTATGGAACCTTCACATGTTGGCGCTGGAAGGAGCCTTTGAGGATTACAGTAGTCCTCCCTCATTTGTGGTTTCAGCTGTAGTTTCAGCCTGAGGGGCAGCCGTGGTCCAAAAATATTAAATGGAAAAGTCCACAAATACATTTGTGTGTGTGTGTGTTTGTTTTTGAGAAAGGGTCTCACTATGGAGTTCAGACTGGTCTTGAACTCACTAGGTAGTTCAGGCTGGCCTCAAACTCATAATGATCCTCCTGCCTCAGCCTACCAAGTGTTGGGATTACAGGTGTGTGCCATCATGCCCAGCTAGAAATAACACCATTGATAAGTATCAAACTGCACGCTCTTCCAAGTACTGTGATGAAATTTTGTGCCGTTTGCCAAGGAAGTGAATCATCCCTTTTGTCCTGAGTATTCATGCTGTATGTGCTATCTACCTGTTGACCTCTTAGCCTTTTCCGTTGTCTGATCAACTCTCTCGGTATTTAGGGTTTGGTGCTATCCAAGGTTCGAGGTATCTGCTTGAATGTCTTGTAGAGTATTCCTTTTGGTTGGTAGGGTGGGTACTCTTTTTCAGTCCTTTCATTTAGCTTGAGTTAATTTGTCTGCCTTTGGAGACTTTACACAGACTATCCTAGAAAAGGAGTTATTTTGTTTTTTGGGGCTTTTTTTTGGTACTGGGAATCAAACTCACGACCTCATGCTTGCCAGGTAGGCACTGTGCTGCTGAGCTATATCCCCAGCCTACCCTAGAAAGGTAACAACTGTTTCGGGAAAGATTTCCACAGGTGGTGACACGGAAACCCTGGGAGGAATTTTTCATTGATTACAATGTCAGTATTTCCTACTCATAGTCTGCTTTTTTTTTTTTTTGAGATGGGGTCTCACTATGCAGTTCAGGCTGGCCTTGAATTCATTATGTAGCCTACCCTGGCCTTCAACTTGCAGTGAGCCTCCTGCTTCAGCCTCCTGAGTGCTAGGATTACAGGCATTTGCCACCATGCCCGGCCTACTTTTTAACTGAACTTTAAGTAGAAAAATATCTTACTATCTTTTTAGAAATAGAAAGTGTAAGCTAGAAAAAGTCTTCTTTTAGAAATAGAATTGTAAGCAGTACATTCTTAGGATTCGGCTGTTGTGGTGTTGTGGTATAATAAGACATACGTGTTTGGTCGTTGACCGTGGTTCCTATAGAGCTGCCAGAACCCTTGTACAGGTAAGTCCCCAACTTACGAACAAAGTGTGAGCTTTCACAGATAAAATAAACGCTGCATTATGAACATTTGTAGATGTGAAAAATGGTGGAAGTAGCTTGTGTGTCTACCTTGCCATTTTAAGGTAGCTATAAAAATAGTTTACTTGAGTATTTTTGTGTGTTTGGTTTATTTATGCTTTTCGGTATATATTTTTGTCAAAGGTGTTGTAAGACTTGCTTTGTTGAACTTACTAACCTTCTCCCCGGATGGAACTCTTTCATAAATGTAACTTCCTGAGTAATGGGGGGACTGGAAGATTTTCTTTTTGTTTTGTTTTTTCTCCGGTACCGGGAACCGAACTCACGACCTTGCGCTTGCCAGGCAGGCGCTTTGCCGCTGAGCTAAATCCCCAGCCCCGGGACTGGAAGATTTTTACTGTGCTACTTGGTCTTTGGTAACCGTTCCTGTGCCTCTTGGTGGGTTCCTGAATGCCTCTGGAGGGAGCCAGTTGCCAGCCACGTGACCGGAGGGTGGGAGCTTGCGGCCCTGCAGTGTGTGAAGGGTAAAGGTGCAGTTGCTCACCGGTGGTCAGCAGTGTGGTCAGTCGCGCCTGTGTAGTGAGGCCTCCGTAGAAATCCAAAAGGACATGATCCACATGAGCATCCGGACAGCTGAACATGTGGCAGTGCCTGGAGGATGGTGCGACAGGGAGGGCGTGGAAGTTCCCTTTCCCATGCGTCCTGCCCTACCACCTCGTCATGGAGCTTTATCCTTTGTAAAAATCATTTGTGAATAAACTAGTAAATGTCACTGAAGAGTTTTCCTGCAATCTGTGAGACATTCTAGCAAATTAAAGGAGGGGCTTGTGGGAGCCTGGTTTATAGCCAGGATGTCAGAAGTGTAGGTGACAACCTGCTACCTGTCTGAAGTGAGCGGCAGTCCTGTGGCCTCAGCTTTGTGGGGTTCGACAGCCCTGGAGGATGCTTCCAGCATCTGCAGTCAGAAGTGTTGTGCTGAGTGAGGACAGAGCCGTGCATACAGTTTGGTTTTGCCTGTGTCTCAGAGCTGTATTCCATCTTTCCTTACATAGGAGACTTCTGAGACATTCCTGTCTGTAAGGGTAGGTTAGCAAGGAATGATGTGGCTTATAAGGCCCCATGGATCTTCATCCCCAAGAAGAGGTCCAGCAGGAAAAGGGGGACTCTATAGAGTTAGGATGAAGAATCACCCAGAAGGCTCATAAAGCCATCGCTTAGAAGTACCAGAATATATTGTGAATTATGTTGTCCTAAAGCGGGAATCGGCTACTGGTATCACTAGAAATTAATGACGGAGCATTAGTGTGCAGAGCAGGGAAGTGAGCTAGGCAGAGTGGTGCACACCTGTAATCATAGCTACTCAGGAGCCTGAGGCAGGAGGATCATAAGTTTAAGGCCAGCCAGGGCTAAATAGTGAGACGTTGTTTCAAAAAAAAAGGCTAGAGATGCAGTTCAGTGGTAGAGCATCCCAGGATTTGATTCCCAGTACTGTATCGCAAAAGAAAGAAAATAGGAGCTGATAAATTCTTAAAATGGATATGGCACAGAATCCCATTTTGCCCCCAGCAGTGGCCATAGCCAGCGTGGCAATGTCCAATTTAAGAGGTTTAATTGAAAACACTGTGAGTTGCGTGAAGCCTGGATTCACTGCCAGCACTGCACCACCTCCCACCCCCAAGGCAGACCAAACCAAACCACCCCAACCCCACCCCACCCCACCAAACTAAAACCCCCTATAAACTTGAAGCCTTAGCTACTTGTAGTTCAGGGCCGTCTAGCATGAATGGCCCTTGTACATCCTGCACCATCCCACATGTCCCCCTGCTACCAGTTCTTCCTCTTTATCATCAGTACAGAATTTGTGAGTCCCTTGCCTGGGTGTCTGTGAGGGCTGCTTCGGTCTTCTGCTCTCATTCTTCCAGCCCAGTGATTCTAGTTTCCTGAGTGGTTGTTTTTTAATTCTTTAATCCTTCCATGTGTTTTTTCCTTCATAAGGGATCAGAAATGCAGCTGCCTACAGATAATATGAACAAGTCTAACTTTGAAAACTGTAACAAGTTGGAGAGGGCCCAGCTAAAGGGGACAGGTATTTCTCGGTGCTAGTTGTTGCCGTATCTGAGATGTGCACAGAGAGCTGGGAGTCCAAGAGTGTAGTACACACTCTGTTTATATGTTGCCGTTTAACTCACTTTTTACAACATGATGCTACTCTTGGTTCAGGATTTGAACTCTGCTCTAGATCTTACGTAAGTTTGAAGCTCAGAGTTGCCCAGTACTAAATACTTGATAAGGTTAAGGGGGCATCTCTTGTATCCTATCAGTTGTCAGAATTGCTTTCTGGTCATTTGGAGTTTTTTGACATCTTCCTTGAAATATATGTCATTTCTGAATGAAAGCAGTTGAGAAAAAGAAATAATATTTTGATCTGAGTATGCCTGGTGTTTTTTCCTCCATGGAAAAGGCTTTTACAAAAAGGCCTAAAATTGAGGACTAAAAATCTGCACACCCAGGGATATGACTGTGCAGGTTAAAGAGTGGTCTCCACAGCACTTGGGGCCTTAAAATTTTTGTTGAAAAAAAAAAAAAGCTGTACCATATGGCATGGTGGCACACACCTGTAACCCTAGCACTCAGGAAGCTGAGGCATGAGGATTGCCGTGACTTTGAGATCAGCCTGGGTTACATGGTGAGTCAAGACCAGCCTGGACTTACATAAGGAGACCTTGGACCCTATTAAAAAACAACAGGAACAACAACAAAAACAAATACTGCAACTCATACTTTTTTTTTTTTAAACAGTTTTGCTATAAAATTCAGACTGGCCTTGAATTCAGTGTGTATCCCAGGCTGGCCTGAAAATCCTGACAATCTTCATGCCTCAGCCTCCTGAGTGCACTGCCATGCCCTGTTGCCAGGGCTGATTTTGAACTTGTGATCCTTTTGAAGGCCTCAGCCCCTGAGAGAGCTGGCTGGACAGGCGTGGGACCCCACATCTGGCCCTGTGTATCATGATCCTAAAGTTGCTAGGCAAAGTATGATTTTATCACCATGTTAGAGAATAGGAATTTTGCCAGGCATGGTGGTGCACACCTGTAATCCCAGCACTTGGGAGGCTAAGGCAGGAGGATCATTGTGAGTTCAAGACCAGCCTGGGCTACAAAGGGAGCTCACAGCCAGCCTGAACTGCACAGTGAGACCCTGTCTCAAAAAGACAATGGAATAGGTATTTAAAATAGGTCTAAAATGTTCCTTATTCCCCTCTCCCTTTTTTTTTTAGGTTTTCAAAACAAAAATAGAGTTGCAATCTTAGCAGAGCTGGACAAAGAAAAAAGAAAATTACTTATGCAGAACCAATCTTCAACCAATCATCCAGGAGCTAGGTATTAACTGTTACTTTCTGATGCTCTTATTAGCCGTATTTTTCAACATAACAAGCTGCTTAACACTCTTTGGAGGTCTCCTTTCACTGTTAGGATAAGGTCTACATTTTATGTTTTCCATGACCAGCACCCTACTTACGTTGAGAGTCTCTTAATTCCTATGATAGCGTGTGTCACTTTTCATCAGAATTGCTGTTTTCTGTGAGCTCTCTTTGTCTTACATATTTGTATACTTCTAGTGCTTAGCACATAGCCAAACACCCAGTAGCTGCTCTGTAATCTGGTAAATAAGTACTTCAGAATTTGGTTATTTATTCATAATACTACATATGTGGAACATGGCTAAGGTAATCTGTTTCATTATTTCACAAATAAAAATGTATATTTTTACTTTTGATAAATATCATACAATTTTTTTAACTGTTTTAAAAAATAATGTTAATAAGGATCATAACAATTATGGTACCTCAAATGTTTGAAAGTAAGGGGCCTTCCGGGCCTGGTGGTGCACGCCTATAATCCCAGAACTCAGGAGGCTGAGGCAAGAGGATTGCTGTTGGGTTCCAGGCCAGCCTGAATCCATAGCAAGATACTGTCTCCAAAAAAAGAAAGTAAGGGGCCAGCCATCAATTATAAATATTAAAAGTAGATCCTTTGAAATCTCAGTAAATATCATAAGCTTTCTTCATATAAACTAGTGTAAACTGGGAGAAAAGGAAAGAGTTTGCTTTATCCCTGTAAGGAATATACAGTGAGAGGCTGCACATTCAGGGGTCAAATATCTGTGGGTGTGAGTCTCAGTGCCACAAAAAAGAGTGACAGAAGAACCTCTCTTCGGGAGATTCATTGTATGACATGGTGACTATAGTTAATGACGTGATTATACCTGAAAATTGCTAAGAGAGATCTTTAATGTTCTTACAATAAAAACAAGCAGTATGTGAGGTGACAGATATGCTAATTGGCTCAATTTAACCATTTCACAATGTATATAAATACCAAAACATATTACTCTCCATTATAAATGCATAAACCTCAATTAAAAATCATTTACTGCCATTAAAATAAAAAAGGTAAGGATGCATCTGCCTTAAGCAGTGAAGTAACCGAGGTTTCCATTTCAGCATTGCGCTCTCCAGGCCCTCTCTTAATAAGGACTTCCGGGATCACGCCGAGCAGCAGCATATTGCAGCCCAGCAGAAGGCAGCTTTGCAGGTAAACAGTGCGTAACTGACCTTCTCTCATTGGAGATTTCCTGGGTCTGAGAAGCCAGCGCATAGTTATTTTCTATTTCAGCAGAGCAGTATCAATAAAAATGTTCCACACACGTAATTGCAATGGTTTGCTGATGTTCAGTTATGCCCAAAGGATCTAAGGACCAATACAGCAGTAATGAAAGTATCTTTTATGGTGTTGACACGGTCACGATTGATTCTATGCTGTACCTGCCAAGGGACTGCTTGTACGCAAGAGTTTAGGACAGTTGGATGGAGAGGATGATCCAGAAAATTGGAGTGGATAGTTTAATAGTATATGTCATTATGTCATTTGGTTTTAAATTTTTGTTTGGATTTTTTTTTTAATGGCCAACTCTGTGAAGCTCTTTTTGTCTTTTTGAGACAGGGTCTCGCTATGCAGTTCAGGCTGGTCTTGAACTCACTTTGTGGCCCAGGCTGGCCTCGAACT